GGAAAGGTTCCAAAGAGGAGCAATAAAAATGAAACACGGGTTAGAGAACAGGTCTTTATGAGGAAAGGAATGAAAATATTGAAAATAAGCCTCACGTGTGATGCGAAAGGAAGTTTAGCCTTCATAAGAGAAGGGGTGGAATTGGAGTCACATAGTTCATGCCTGAATGGTAATCTTCTCAGTTTCCTCTCGTGTCAAGGCAAGAGGGAAGTATAACTTTTCCCTGTACCATGTTTCCCTCCAGCAAGCTCCAGGAACACCAAGACTACATCTGCACTGGGTACCCGTAAATTCTTGTTGAATAAAACAATAAATTCTAGACTGGGCTGGACTCATGTCAAAACACCCTACTGCCTCTTACTCACCCATTAGTGGAACTGAAACATTTCAGGAACCCCTAAAATACTTATACAGTAGACTATGTTGCTGTTGTTGTGGTTAGGTGCCGTCAAGTCAGTTCCGACTCTAGCAACCCTACGTACAACAGAACAAAACACTGCTCGATCCTGGGCCATCCTCACAATCATCGTTATTCTTGAGTCCATTGTTGCAGTCACTGTCTCAGTCCATCTCATTGAGAGTCTTCCTCTTTTTTGCTGACCATCTACTTTACCAAGCATGATGTCCTTCTCCAGGGACTGATCCTTCCTGATAACATGTCCAAAGTATGTGAGATGAAGTCTCGCTGTACCTCTTCCAAGACAGATTTATTCATTCTTCTGGCAGTCCATGGTATATTCAGTGGTTAACAGCTTCGCTGCTAACCAAATGGTCAGCAGTTCAAATCCACTAACCACTCCTTGGAAACCCTATGGAGCAGTTCTACTCTGTCCTATAGGGTTGCTATGAGTCGGAATCGACTTGATGGCCAGTGGGTTTATAGTACACTATAGCTTTGTTTTTAACTGATACAAGTTTTAAGTTAAAAAACAAAACAACAAATTTCTAAAATGATAAGGCTCAATGCTACTGAAGCTTTTCAGAAATACGCAGCATAGCTGGATAAAACAATGATGGGACATCATTAGTAGTCTGAATCAATATCCCTAAAAATGAACTAGTAATTTCACTTCTAAAAATAAATCTTACGGAAATAACACTAAACACATACAAAAAAATGTCCTGTATGTTGTAGTGTTATTTATAATAGTAAAAATCTGGAGGTAGTACAAAGGTCCATGTAGAAAAGACATGCCCATGGAATGAATCATTTCAGTGTTGTTGTGTGCCCTAGAGTTGATTCCGGCTCACAGAAACCCTATAGGACAGAAGAGAACTGCTCCTAAGGGTTTCCAAGCTCTTACTCACTCCGCCACTAGGGCTCCCATTTAAGAGTAGCAAAGACAAAGGACAGATGATGTTGCAATATCCATAGAGTTTTTCCCACATTTAGGATTATTTCCAAAGGAACTGTTAACATCCAGAAAACCTGTAAGACTCCTAAAAAACACTACACATGTTCCAAATGTATAATTTGAGGTTTCCTATGTTTATAAAAACATAAAACACAAATGAGAATACCTCCTACCATCTATCTCTTTATATCTATGAAAAGCTGTAAAACTAAATGGTCCTTGCTTCCAGAGAACAACCAATTTAACAAGAAAGAGAACCCTCCTTTTCACTAGAAACATATTTATTTGTAACAAAAGCTAAGGGGACCCTATCTGTCATTTATGTTATTGTGTCTAGCTACACTATCCAAGCTCATAAAAATCTCATTAAATTTTATCTATGTTCATTACTGTTTCACAGATAGCCTCATTACCCCTACCACACATCCTTAGGAACTGCTTCAATTGCAAAAGCCACCAGCTCACAGGAATCATACTGTATCAGAGAGGCCAAAGACTTGAAACACATGTGAGCACTCTTTCTGCACCTCCTTTTGCTAACGGATGATAGCACTCCAATCTGCTGAACCCAATTCAGTCTCAGAATCCTTCTTAACATAGTATTACAGGCAGCAGCCACTGCCTATCAATCATAGAGCCTAAGAGATAAGGGCTCTTTACCATCCTTGAACTCAGTAATAAATCAGGAAATTCACTTCCCTGGAACAGTTGAAACTAATTTTCCCATTGGTCAGTCAAGCTACGAGTGGCCCCATCAGAATCAACAGTGTGTAGAAATCAACATTCATCAACTCTTGTAAAATGTTCAACTACTAAGATATTTTTATTTAAAGTAAGTGTCTATAGAAGCAATTAATAGGGACTATATTATGCCAGGGAACCATGGTGGTGAAGTGGTTAAGAGCACAGCTGCTAACTGAAAGGTCAGTAGTTTGAATACACTAGCCCCTCCTTGGAAGTCCTATGGGGCAGTTCTACTCTGTCCTATGGGGTCGCTATGAGTCAGAATTGACTCGACGGCAACGAGTTTGGTTTTGGTATATTATGCCAAGAAAATAATGTGATCCACAGTATATTCATTTTTTTTGTGTATTTTTCTATCAAAACTTTACCATTTTTCCCAGATAACTGCCAAAACAGAAATTTAAAAATAATCAAAGTATGCTAATCTGGATATAGCTCTTAATACATATAGAAATAACGAATGATTTCTTTCATATAACCAGGGAAACTTGAAAATACCAGAAGCCAGGGAAAATTCTTCTAAAAAGATAATTCTAGAAAACTAGGTAGCATGTCATCTAGAATCTTTTAAAGCCCCCAAGACTTACATATCATTTGCTATCCCAAGGAATACTGAAGAAATGGGCATAATTTTAAAACAAAAGAAAACATGTAAAGACCCTCACATGTCTCCTAGGCCTGTGCCACTTTGGAGTGTACAAAAATTTATCCAGAGGGCCCCAAGGAATCTGGGATCCTATAAGAGTAGCTTTGGAATTTCCACATTAAGGGAGACTCAAGGCACTGAGTGTGCCCAATAGGTATCTGACCAATAAACTTGTTAAGTCTCTTCCCTAGGGAATCTCACCTGGCATATGCCAGAACAATAAAAGCAAGCTCAGGCACAGAAAGCATCCCCATTTTCCATATAAATTAGCATCTACCTTTTCCCATGCTGACTCTGCAAGGCAACTTATTTACAAATATATAAATAGCTGCAACTTTACTCCAGTCTCATTGAAAAATCAAAATGGCATCATGCAAGAGAAGCATCCTAGCATACTTGGCTCAATGAGTGAAATGTAAGTGGAGATGAGCCAAGCTACTTGACACTCGCGAGTCAGCTTAACCAGATACCCTCCAGTTTCCTGTAGTGGAGGTACCAGAGTTCTGTTCTACACTGAGAATTCCCAGGGATCGAGCAGTGATTGCGAGTCAAACCTCAGAAAGTAAATTTAAATTCGTGCCTCATATTTGTAATTTCACAGATTCAAAGGGGAATAGCACTGTCTATAAGTGGCAGCAAGTTTCCCAATGCAACTACTTAAAATAAGCTAGGATTTCTTACCCACACGTCTAGTGAAATTTAAAAGGTTTTACTTGAATCCTTTTGCCACTTGGCCAGATTATAGAGTTTCACAGGCAGGAAGAAGGCAGGGCAAAAATACACATCTTAAGTTCATGTTTGAAGGAACAGAATGAATTGCCTTCCTTATAGTCACTAAAGTTATCTATTACTAGTTACAGAAGCCGACTTGACAGTAACCAATAACAACTACTACTAGTTAAAAAAATCTAAACTAAAAAATAGTAATAGATCTGTTTAAAAGAATTATTGTGTCTCTTGGCTTTTCTTTACAGAATATGAATATCTAAACACAGAACTGCTATACCCTGAGGGTTGTGTGTTTGCACACGAAGCCACCTAAACAGCCACCCACTATAACACAGGTCTGTACAGTTACATCTGTTCAAGTTCCCTGCCTGACATTCACTCATTAAAATCCCCTAATATCAAATTACTCTCTTCCTTAATACTCTTGTCTCTTACCAATTAATGAGCAGTTTATATTTAACGATCCATGTAATTAAACTAAAATTACCTAAAGCATTTCAAAATCTGCAGGTTTTTTTTTTTTTAAAAAAACTTTTCTCCAAGAAAAAGTGAGTTATAAATCTAGTTTATACAGAGCATCTGAAAATAAGTAATGAGATGATTACTGCTATTTCCCTTTGAGAATTCTTAATATTGAGATTCTCAACAATCTTGTCTGGTAACTTAAGTATTAGGTTACCCATCAGAAATGGAAACATTCATATATGCTTTCACACAAAAACATCTGCACTGCTTATTAAATCAAAACAGAATTTTAATGCTCTTTTTTCATTGCAATGCAATACACTGAAATGTACATCTTGGATTCAAAGAATACACATTATGTCCACATATGCTACCTGCCTTTCTGACGGCTCAAGCTTTCTGAATTATTATTTACTCATCCTTATATTACTACCAACCAAATGGAGAATTATTATCAGTACTTAAATGGCAAGTGTTTCTTTTTTTTTTTTTAATCCCAGGTTTGTCAGTTGAAAAAGAAAGGTAAGGTGACAAAGGAAAACCTTCATAAATTTACTTTGAAATGAAATGAATATCAAGACCAAAAATAAATAGTGTAAAAAGTTTTTATTTTGTACTCTACACAACATATAAGATGAACACATAAAGGCTAAGTTCTTTCCTTTTAACTTATCATGAAAAGTAGTAAATGTAGAAATAAATACAATGAATACCAGTCTTTTGTCTCTGAGTCTATATCGTGTACTATGTTTTAAAGCTCACATATTAAAATCTAAACTTGGTTATGTCTATTTTAAACATAAATAATATTTCTCCAAAAATGAATTAAATTATCATTCTCTAAATATTATGCCTCTACCTGTATGCATAAGTGGTATTTGTACTGTAGAACAAAGATTGCCAAAATTATTATAAACAACAAATATACAACAGTACATTTACCACAGCATTCAAGTGAGTATGACACTATCAAGAAGATTTTTTTTTAAAACAAGTTATTTGGAATCTCCTTAGGAAATAGGTTATGCAGTATTATTAAAATAACTTTTTGTTTTACTTACATAGTATCTCTAATAAGAAGTGCACTTCCCAGTTTGAAACAAGTTTTATCACCTTCACAAAATGCATGCCTCAGAGAAAAACTCTCTCCCAGATCAAAACCTGTAAAATGTAACAAATGATTTAGCCCAGCAAGTTTTATTAAATTCTGTAAACTCGCAGATGTATTGATTTTTAAATAGGATTTTTTGTTGTCCTTATCTATAGAGTGATTTATTTCAAATAAAATCCTATTATTTGGGATCAGCAAAATTTCTTGATTTCATTTTTCTCCTTTTAGGATACAGGAAGGTGAAATTTACTCTGCATGCAGAATGTGGAGCTCTTTTTCTGAAGAAAATTTACAAATATGTTTCAAAAGACTCAAATATTAGTTTTTTTGACCCAGGAATTGTCTGAAAAAATAATCAGTGAAGCTCAGTGTAGTACATCTGATGTCTAATGACAGAAAATTAGTTAAGTAAATTACAGAACAGCTGTTTGATTGAAAACTAAGCAGCCTCGTTAAAAATTATGCTTTAGAAGAATACATAATGATATGGAGAAATGCTTGGGGGGGTGTGTGTGTGTGAAAAAGAGAGAGAAACAGAAGGATAAAGAGAGGAAGAAAGATTGAATGTTGTATCAAAATAATAATTTTGACTATATTTGGGTGATGAGATCTTCTTTCTCATAATTTTTTTTCAAAATTTCTATAATGAATACAATTTTTACAATTTTAAATGTTTTTTTTTTCCCAAGAGGTTGAAAAGTTGTTGGTCTTAAATTAAGCTAAAAAGCACTCTCAGTATGTTTCCTACATCATCTTCTTTACTTTGACTTTTTTTTAAATATTGATGTTACAGTCTTAAGTCGCTATGTCAAAGAATCACATACAATATATTACATATCTGGTAATAATTTTACACAAAATGCTCCTCTGCAAAGGATTATATGCTTACCTGAAACTTCAAGTTTGTCTCTGCTACCTTGTATAAACTGATATCCATCTGTTCTCAGTACAGGACATAGTTTTTCTACAGAAAGAAAAAAAAAAGTATACTTCCTATGAATTTTTTCAAATAAATTTGAATCACACAATACAATCGGAAATGTAAGGTAAAGATGGAAATAAATTAAACCATTTATTAAATTTCTGCAAAATGAGGAAAAGAATATTACCTACCACATAGTGTGTTTGTGAGGATTATTATATTGGTTATGTAGGTAAATTGCTTAGAACAGTGCCTGGCATATGGTTAGTACTTGTGTTAGCTATTATTATTATTATTACTATCATTTTAACACCCGAATTGTTACTATATCCTTGACATTAGGAAATTAGCTACCTATAATATTAAATTTTCATATTCAAAGTATATTCTAATACTAGAACAAGTGAACTATTACTAAATTTTACCACAACTTTTATTCAGATTTTGGCATCAGGCGATATTAAACATAAGAACAGAAGGGGACATAGATGGATGTTATTAAAACAAAATAAAAAAGCAAAATGCCAACACCTTTGCCATACAAAAAGTGACCTACAATAAAATAATGAGATAAAATCATCAAGCAAGTATTAAGTGAGTACTTGCTAAGGCACTTAGTGATATTCAAAGAAATAAAAGATAAAGTTAGGCTCTGCCAACAGTAAATTTACATATTCTGTACTACTACAACATACTAATACATGTAATATACACGCATACACTAATTTTTTATTATCTGGAGATGTGTTTAATTCAGACTAGATTCTAGGAATGCAGTAGTTAGTCAAGTCAAACAAAATTGCAGCCACTTTTCATAGTATGCTAAAGTAACTACACAACTGGACCAATCTTCTTAAACTAAATCAATTAAATATTCTGACATTATGCCATTACAATCTTAATTCTCCATGTCTAGAACTCATGTTTGGAGTTTAATGACCTAAAGTTTTTTTTAATATTGAAGAGTGATAATGCTTAAAATCAAATTGATCTCCTGATCTGTGGAAAGTGAAAATTGCCAACTTCTCCAGTTCAACTGCTGAGCTCTACAGCCCGTTATTTAACAAATATATCACAGACCTCAGGGGTGGTGACAAGGCATCCTCTTAATATATTTGACCAGAGGAATATCAGATTCTAAATACTGCTACCACTTAATCAGATTTAAAAGAAGCAAATCAACTGCAATACACATTTTGCATACTCAGATTTTGCAAAAGTAAGTGAAATTAGCACTGAATAATTTCAGACGTTACTTAACTACTTTGGAAATTCTTATCTCAGAAATCTTAATGTAATTCCAGGTCCTAAACGATAGTAAAATCATTGTATATTTTATAAACATTACCAATTGTTCCGAATTCACAGTAATTTTTTGTAAAAATCAAGCATCTCATCCAAGATCTCTGCATACTCAGATACCACTAAATGGTTAAAATTAAAGAAGTTATGGCACCATGTGTTGGCAAGGATGTGGAACAACAGGAACTGTCCTACATAAAAATGGTTTACATACAGAAAAGAACAATCTTCGATGGTTACAAGGGAGGGGAGGGTTGGGAAGGGGAAATCACTAACTAGATAGTTGACAAGTGGTAACTCTGGTGAAGGGAAAGAACACAATATAGAGGAAGTCAGCACAGCTTGACCAAGGCAAAGTCATAGGAGCTTTCTAGACACATCCAAACACCTTAAGGGACCAAGTTACTAGAGCTTAGGGCTGGGGACCATGGTCTTGGGACATCTAGGTCAACTGGCATAACATAGTTCATAAAGAAAATGTTCTACATCCTACTTTGGTGAGTAGCGTCTGGGGTCTTAAAAGCTTGTGAGCTTTTAAGATACTCCGCTGGTCCCACCCCGTCTGGAGCAAGGGAGAATGAAGAAAATCAAAGACAAAAGGAAAATACTAGTCCAAAGGACTAATGGACCACATGAACCACAGCCTCTACCAGCCTGAGCCCAGAAGAACTAGATGGTGCCCAGCTACCACCACCTACCGCTCTGACAGGGATCACAATAGAGGGTCCCGGGAGCAAAGGAGAAGGAAGAAAAACAAAAACACAAGGGAAAGATTAGTCCTAAGAAAGAGTGGACCACAACTACCACAGCCTCCACCAGACTGAGTCCAGCACAACTAGACGGTGCCCAGCTACCACTGACTGCTCTGACAGGGATCACAACAGAGGGTCCCAGACAGAGCTAGAGAAAAATGTAGAACAAAATTCTAACTCACACACATACACACAATAAAAGACCAGACTTACTGGTCTGACAGAGACTGGAGAAACTCCAAGAGAATGGCCCCCACACACCCTTAAAGCTCAGAAAGGTTCACCTGAGGTTCACCCTTCAGCCAAAGATTAGACAGGCCCATAAAACAAAATGAAACTAAAGGGGCACACCAGCCCAGCAGCAAGGACAAGAAGGCAGGAGGAGACAGGAAAGCTGGTAATGGGGGACACAAGGTCAAAAGCGGAGAGTGTTGACATGTTGTGGGTTGGCAACCAATGTCACAAAACAATATGTGTATTAATGGTTTAATGATAAACTTGTTTGCTCTGTAAACCTTCATCTATAGTATAATAAAAAATAAAAGAATTGGTAGGAAAGCTGGGGGAAAAAATGTCTGCATACAATAAATGTAAAACAAGAAAGAAATGCCAGTTTTCTATAGGAGAAACGGAGATGCTATTATAACCCAAAGAAACGGCACACTTCTTAGTATCCTGGGGCTGGATGCTCAAGTGAGACCCAGGACACACCTGAATAACCCCTTCAGGCAGAGTCCTGCAGACAACACAGAATGCCTGTGCTGTGAAGCTTTCTCTCCCCAGAGACTCCAACCAAACCAAACCACTTGATGTGGAGTCAGTTCTGACTCATGGTGACCTCACATATGTCAGAGCAGAACCGTGCTCTATACGGTTTTCAGTGGCTGATGTTTCAGAAGTAGATCGCCAGGGCTTTCTTTTGAGGTGCCTCTGGGTGGACTTGGAACTCCAACCTTCAAAAAGACAAGAAAGAAAGAAGAAAAAAAAAAAAAAAAAAAAAAAGAGGGTCCTGGACAGAGTGAGAGAAAAATATAGAACAAAAATCAAATTAACAAAAAAAAAAGACCAGACTTACTGGTCTGACAGGCTGGAGGAACCCACAAGACTATGGCCCCAGATACCCTGCTAACTCAGAACTGAAGCCACTCCCGAAGTTCACCTTTCAGTCAATTAGACAGGCCTATAAAATAAACAATAACACGCATCAGGAAAATGCTTCTTATTCAATCAAGTATTCAGTCAACACCTGCCCAAAAGCAAACAGAAGGTAGGAAGGGTCAGGAAAACTGGACAAATGGACACGGGGAACCCAGAGTGTACAGGGAAAGGGGGAGAGTGCTGACACATTGTGGGGATTGCAACCAATGTCACAAAACAATTTGTGTATACATTTTTGAATGAGAAACTAATTCGTGCTATAAACTTTCACCTAAGCACACACACAAAACTCTCCTACATTGTTTGGGTGAATGAAAATTAGTATAATTACATTAGAAAACTGGTGGCATTCACTGAAGCTAAATATACATATACTCTATATGACCTGCAAATTCAATGACCCAAGAAATAAGAGTGTAAATATGAGTGCAATAAATGAGATTAACATTAAATTCTTCACAAAGTATGTAGCGAAGTCATAACTGACAATTCTCAAGATAGTGGATAGGGACTTTCCACTATGACACTTTGTTAATGAGGGGAAGGTATGCTGGCCTACTGCCAAGTTGGAAATAGTATATATCTTATTTAAAGTCGTCCAAGACTTAATGATTATACAATGATGTCAAAGTAATAAAACTGTCACTTTAAACTGAACAGATCCCTAAGACTCATGATTTCAAATTATTATGACTTGAACCTTACCCCAAAATAATTAACACTCAGCTTTGTTTTGTGACAGCTTTTCACAACATAGCACCTATTCTAAAGATATGAAATTGCATTTGATTTTCACAAACTAAAGATTTTCAGTTGAGAAATATTTTCATAAATACTGCTGGAAATGTTGAATTCCATTCTTTTAATGGTTGTGTTTTCAAACCAGGACATTTAACTCTTAAATTGTGGTATCTCTGGAGATTAGATTCTTCTCCTTCTCTAGGTTTGCCCTTCTTCCTCTTTATTAGTTATTTTTATTATCGTTATTTTATTATTGTAAATTATTCAAGGTTGCAGGTCTTTTCTTCAACACCAGACTCCCCCTCTAGGTGCACCTGTTGTTGTCACTTCACTATTGGTCTCCCTGCCCCCGGGGGTGCCAGCCATCACTACTTCACCTCCAGGCTGCTTGAGTGAGGGTGCTGGCTGTGCTGCTTTCAGCACCAAACTCTATCGCTGGGAGGATCTGATGGGGCCACCTCACCGTCAGACTCCCACATTGGGGATGTTGGCTGTACTATTGCGGTACCAGACTTCCCCAAACCAGGAACATCGGCTATGCTACTCCAACCCCAGTCCCCCATCCCCCACCCCCCTTCAGGATTACCAATTATCATTGATTGCTTACCACCAATCCCCTCAACCCCTTTGCCCATTTTCAGGAGCTGCAGTCTCCCTGCCCTGAGGCGCAGCCGCTCAATATGGCAGTGCTGAGCTGGGGAAGGGGGTGGGGTGCAGACCTGTGGTGAACCATTGCTCTCCCGCGGTTTGTATGCTACCTTTTTCTTGATTCAGTGTTCAGTTTGGTCCTCCAACCCTTTAACTTATGTCCAGAGTTCCGAGATTATCAATTTCATCAGTGTTTGCTTGTTTTCTTCCGACTTTTTTGTGGGAGGACATGAGCTTACGAACGCAAGCCGCCATCTTGCTCCTCCTCTTTGACACAAGCATTTTAATGTAATGTAAAGCTTGACTTTTTCAGTAACGGTGCGATACCCGGAAGATCTACAGATAAGATCCAGTTACCGCGTTGGGTAGACGGAAGAGAATTACTGTAGGGGTTGTCACTTCAAACGCTCTCTGGGAAGACCCAACATTGCAAAAGTAACT